CAGCGCAGCAAAAATAGACTCGGTGTGGATACGATCTCCACACTGCTGCAGACGCACCGCTCCTGAACGCACTGCCGGACCGCAGCCGTGTGCAGTGAACGCTTTAATCCGTTAACATGAGCGCGGAAAAAATACGCACCACGTGTGCACTGCAAACAGAGTAATGTGAACCTGGCATTATGTGTGTGCGCTGTGAGTGTGCATGAGCTCAGTTTCCAGGAGAGCGCGGTGAGCGCTGAATGGTTAAACACTGGCAACAATTAAAAAGAAATGCAATTAATAAACTTTAGTGACCGGCCGATAGTGATCGGTAGCCGATCAATCGGAGCACCCCTAGTAAGAGACTACAGGGCTGTTACCAATCAAATGAAATCAGTATCAACAAAATCTGTGTTTGCAATGCAGAGGAACAGAATCTGTGTCTGAAGTGGCATTTAGATGCTTTCTCACAGACTGTTTAATGCAGGACATTAATGCAGTTAACCTGCAGTTACAAGTGCATAATTCATGTTTTGATGTTTTAGAACAAAACATTGCATACTAATAGGGATGCACGACATTATCGGCTTAAAATGCAAATATCTGCATCGGCCGATTTGAAAAAAATTGTGCCAATAAGATGAACAGATCACATGTGCTCAGGGTGTGCTAGCGATAAGATCACGTCAGCAGTGTGGTCATTCTTGAAGCAAAGTTTTGCCTGAATGATTCACTGTTTTGGATCACCGCATGTAATCTGAGAATGCAGTAACAGAACGACGCGTCCGGTGTGGGATAGTCAACAGTTACTAGCATGTGCAGTAGCAGCATCAACAACAGCCTCCCCCGGGTCTTAATGCCCCTCCGGTAAGGCCTTCTATTTACTTAGGGGGCACTGTAGGCCTATTTGTAATAAAATGAAAGTAAAGTACACAAATATCATTAAGATACTTGTGTTTCTGAATAAATAAAGCAGTAATTGATGTTATAAAATCACTAGTCCGTTTTAATTTAAAGGTCAGAAGCTATAGCTTACATGAATAAAAATCACAAACATGACACTTGTAAATTGTTTAATTTAACATATAAAGATTTATTCATTAATATGATCCCTTGACCCTTTTCAGGTTTCAACTGCATCTGTCCAAGAAAAAAACAAAAAACAAAACGGCAGATTGATTTTATTATTGTTATTTTCAAGACTTTCAATGTACTCTCATTAAAAGAACTTTAATAATGTTTATTAGTTCTAACAAATAAGTTTTTGCTCAAAACTAACCAAAATTAAAAATAATTTATAATTTCCAGGAGAGACTTGGCGTTGTTTTAAAGCAAAGGGAAATGTATATCGGTATCGGCATCGGCTATCGGCCATAATGATTTGAAAAATATCGGATATCGTCAAAAATCTAATATCGTGCATCCCTAAATACTAATATTTGAAATGATTTGGGGGAAAAAGGGAAAATATACTTTAAATATAAAGCTAAAATCACTGCATGATTGATTCAGTAACGAAATACTGTTGTGTTGCTCAGAGACTCAAAACAGTTCAGCTGTGGCTTTGTTTGAAACTATTTTCATTGATGAATTAGAGCAAATACAGGAACTGTTGTGTCTAAAATGTAAGCCAATTAATATTAACTTCTTATTTATTGAACTGCTCATCAAATTAATGTCACAATTGCAACTGTGATATTTGGAGAAAGAACTCTACTCTTTGTGTGACATTAAGTATATCAGATGATATAAATAAAGACATATAAAAGTCATACGGGGACGTTTTTAACCCTTGAATTTTGGTGGAATTCTAAATATTTAAATATTTTAGAAAATTTTAATCTCATAGTGTATGTCTGCACTCTCTGGGTGTTTTTGTTTGGTTTTTGTGAAATACTTGCAAATGTCTAATCACATATCGTTTAAACAAAAATTATTATATATTTTTGTAGAAGATATATCGCACAACCCTAGGCAGAATGACCAGTTGTCTTTTAAACAACATATTTAAAAAGTATCAGAAGCCATTTTTATTAAATGTTACGTTTAGTTTGTGGCAAATATGTTTACTTTCGTGTTCTGTTGTATTCTTTTGAGCTTTGTAGTTGATTTTAAGCTCAACTCGAGACAGTGAGTGTGTGTGTGGAGTCTATTCTTTCTCGTCTGCTCACTCACTCGATTCATCATGTCGTCAATTCAGCAGAGCTGCTGTTGAGTTGCATCAGTGTAAACCTCTCATACAAGCCGGGCCTTCCTCAGAGTGTGCTGTGTGTCAGATGATGACTTGATCATTTTCTAAATCATGCAGTAAATGTGTCTCCTACAAAAGCAGCATCTCCTGAAGCGGGTGAGTGTTTGTCCATATTAATGCAAGCTCTCTTGTGTTTGCTGTAGGTGAGGCTGCTCTGAGAGGCGAGTCCAGAATGCAGGCCATGTCCCTGTCCTCTGCAGTCAGCAATCACAGGACCGGCCCTCCTCCCATCAGCCCCAGCAAGAGGAAACACAGCGGGGACCAAGCAGACGACAACATCGACTGTAACAGCGAGCATGTGGCCAAGATGAGCCGGCTGTTTGCCGCACAGTTGTAAGTGGAACCAATTAACATCACGTGTCTGGTTTCGGATGCATCTGATGTGCTGACAGACACTCACAGCTTGTGTTGTCTCCGCCAAATCTGAAAGCTGGTTCAGTTGGCAATCAGGTGCTTTTTAGAAAGCCTCATACTCAGCTGAAGTTAGGGCCGAGCGGGCGGCGCTCCTGCAGAAAGAACGTCAGGAATGCTCGGGAATGTGCTGAAGACCGAGGCCTGGAATTCCTGAGATTCCGGCACGCAGAGCGGAGCACATGGGCCGTTTGCAGCGCCTGGCTGTGCCCTCATGGCAGAGCGTTCCCCGCATTCCAGCCCCGTTTGGAAGAGCGGCGTTCAGTCGCTACAGCTACAAATATGCCCCAGCGACTTAAGACTGGTTTTGTGCTCCAGGGTCACATTTGTGTGCGCTCAAATTTAACTGCACAGGTTTTTTTAAACTTTGACTGAACAGATTTACTTTTGTAATGCTCTCACTCTCGGATACATAAACACTTTTTGATCCTCATCCTCATCTTGGCTACCTGTCAGAGCTTGTTGCCAATTGAAAGGTTTCACTCTGCAGCGTTCAGCACTGGCAGGATCTGAACGGCTCTAGAACAGATTGTAGTTTCATTACAGCAACTGCCCTTTTCACCACCTTAAACTCATTTAACACTTGTTTTGCTCCGTCTCATCTGAAGTGACCTAACGCCAAATCACCTTCATTTGCCATTTTGCTAGTTGACAGAATGTGCTTTAGTTCTGCATTTAAAAAAAAAAAAAAATGTTAAAGTTTTTGTTTAGTGCAAGTGGATTGGATTGGATCATGTGAACAGTTGTATCGTTGAGTTCCAATTGAAAGGTTTCACTCTGCAGCGTTCAGCACTGGCAGGATCTGAACGGCTCTAGAACAGATTGTAGTTTCATTACAGCAACTGCCCTTTTCACCACCTTAAACTCATTTAACACTTGTTTTGCTCCGTCTCATCTGAAGTGACCTAACGCCAAATCACCTTCATTTGCCATTTTGCTAGTTGACAGAATGTGCTTTAGTTCTGCATTTAAAAAAAAAAAAAAAATGTTAAAGTTTTTGTTTAGTGCAAGTGGATTGGATTGGATCATGTGAACAGTTGTATCGTTGAGTTCCCACTTTTTTTTTTTTGAATTACTAGTAAACTATTACATTACTAATGATTAGTAAACCTCAGCAAAAACAAACAGTTAGAATATAATTATATTTATAATTAGAGTATGAATAAACATTACCTTTGAATTTTTGCCATTTTAAAACTAATAAATACTTCTAAATACTGTAAATACTTTAAATTACTTTAGAATAGGGCTGGGCGATAAAACGATAACAATAATTATCGCAATATAATTTTCCTCGATTAAACTATAACAAGAGTTCAATAAATGTTCGATATAAAGTTTATGTTCCAAAAGTGGAAGGAAACAGCGCTACTCATTTAAATTGCGTTGAATCGCATTTCAGTACTGAATAATGACAGCGGATCTTCTCAGCCACTCCAGCAAAGGACACAACCCAGAAAAACTACGGCAAAACCGATACATCGGTCAACCTCTAGCAATTACAGTCATTTCTCTGATGAATGCTATAGCGTTTGTGCATTTATACTAAATGTTTTTCATACAAATACTTAAAAACCATATAGATTCATTTTTATCATGGTATTGAGGTTTTAACTGTGATTATCATGATCTAAATGTATGCTACTATGGAAGACCAGTGCTTCATTTGAATAAAACTCAAACAGTCAGAATAATAAAATTTCACCATTATAAAAATGAGGTTCTTACAGATGTTACTGTTTTTGATAATAAACATAAATTTACATCCGCATCCAAACTCAAGCTGCTGTCAAATGTGCATTTCTAAGAGACAAGAAAATGTAATATTATTAATATTGCAGCCTGCACTGCAAACTGCTGAAAATACTCATCATCAAAGTCAGGAACACAAACCTGCTTCATGATTTGAAACAATATCACTCGTTAGAACATGCAGAAACTAAGAAATTATTATTTTTATTAAGATATTTATTTTGTTAAGGAAAAATGAGTGTAAAGAATTCAAAAACGTGTAGTTCTGACCATAAAGAGTAGTTTAAAACCACAATTAACAGTCTGGTTTCTACAACATTCACTTAGCAAAAATCTGCCTTTAAACTTGAAAGAAATTAAGATTTGAAATTTATTGTGATAATTATCGATACCGACTGATATGGCAAATTTAATCGTGATAATTCTTTGGCCATATCGCCCAGCTCTAGTTTAGCAATTTCAGTTAAAGCTGAAGCATTTGTGAAACAAAAGTCATTGGTTTGTGTTGATGTTTTTACACCTCATTTTATTGCTCTCCCAATAAATTATTATTTTTTTCCCCCTGAAGTTAACTCTTAATTCACACAGGCCTGGAGGTTCGGGAAAGTTTTTGCCAAATGTTTCCTTGTTTTTCAAGAGTAGGAATACATTAACATTTGAACTCTGAGGATTGAATTGTTCATGAGTCTCTGTATTGCTCCAGGACATGTGATTCTGTTCAGGTGGAGGTGAATGAGGCGCTCTTGATTGTTTTTGTTGGGAGTTTGCGGCTGACACCGGACACCACGGGCTGAGGTTTCCATGAGGGTGTTTCTCTATAGAAGGCCATGAAGGACTGGGGGCTGGGAAATCTCTCTTCCTGTGTCTCTCCTCACTATAATCTTTTGTCCAGCACTGGAAAGTTATTTTAAGCATTCTGGCCCTCACTCGCTGGAAGTGCACAAGTTATGTTTCATGTTACGTTTGTTTTGATCTGTAAGGAGTTTGTCCACGCATTAGTTTATTGTATGGTTTCATTCTGGTCTGTGCCAGACTAAACAGTTTGAAGCACAGAGATAAGACTTCATTAGCAGCAGTGAGAGAGCTCTGGATGAAGCCTTCTCGTAGGGCTAATAAAACTGGAAACTCAGGGAGACATATTGTTGTGGAGTGGGCTTCGTGTCAGGGTGGGGGCCATTTTCTCGTTTTCACTGCTGCTATGAAAACAAAGGGCCTCTTATCCGGTCTGCCCACTGCGTTCTGGAAGCTTGCTCTGGCCTGTCCCACAGGAGACGCCCCACTGCAGAACAAGTCACACTGCTCCCCATCAACATCTACAACAAAATAAGAGTTCCTCTTGTGTACTAAACGACTGAACCAGCTTTCTTTTAAAGTATTGCATATCAGAAATGCAGCAGACTTGCATCAGGATCACAAGCGGAAACCATGCTTTCAGGATTTCACCTAGGGTGTGTTCACACTTGTCATGTTTGTTTCGATTAAAACGAACCCTGGTGCGATTCCTCTGTTAGTGCGGTTCGTTTGAGTAAGTGTGAACGCTGCCATCCGAACCCTGGTGCGCACCAAACAAGCGGACCGAGACCGCTGAAAAGATGGGTCTCGATCCGCTTCCAAACGAACTCTGGTGCGGTTCGAATTAAATATGAACGCAACACGGACCAAATACTTCTAAACAAACCAAAAACAGGAAGTAATGACAAGATGTGACGCTATGCGACATGATTTGACAACGCAGAACGAGCGGTGTATCCAAAACAAAATGAGCAGAGGGCAAACGTGGAGCAACGAGGAGGTAAAGTGCCTTTTATGAGCTCTTCGTGAGTTCGCAGGTGGTGAAAATAAAATCATAAGAACACGCAGCAATGAGCGCACTTACTCCAGCAGACGGCATTAGCTGTGTTCGACTTACAGCGGCGCTGAGCAGACCGATCGCTGAATGGGTTCTTTGATGTCACACACCGATCGGTCTGCACAGCACCGCTTTAAGTCGAACACAGCTTTTGTTTGGGGTGTTTGGTGAGTTCCTTTGCGAAATACGTCATTCAACCCGACCAATCAGGTTGTGAACGTGTCACTATGTCTTTAGGTTCACTGTCATAAATGCCAGTGTGAACGCTCAGCGGACCAGGACCAAATGTATTGCTTTCTTTTTTGGTCCGGAACAAGAGAACCGAACTACAAGTGTGAACGCACCCCTAGTTTCACCTAATGTCGAGGGGTTTCATGAATGTGTTCCTGTAAGAAATGAGTAAGGAAAGCTATCTGATTTCAGAGGGAATAATCCACGGCAGCCTGTGTTCCAGCTGGGAACTCGGAGACTCCGTCTTTCTCATGCATCCATGGCCAGCCAAAAGGAGAGTCATGAGAAGGCCGTGCCAGCGTGGTTAGGGTTTATGAAATAATGGTTTTCTGCTAACTTTTATATGTAAACAAGCACATGACTGGCTCGTTTGTGTTTGGATTATAATTTGTCAAAACAGTGAAGTCTGAAATTAGCCAAACGCTTTCAAGTGATTACACACAATGTGTGCATGGATCCAAACTCTCAAACTGCCATTTACCTTTCTTGGCTGCTTGTGTTAAAACCTGAGCCAAAAACAATCAATGTGCCAAAATGTTTTAGTTGCTTTAGTAACCACATTTAAGATTTACAAATGGGAATTTAATGAATTCATTAAGAAATGTAAATGTAACAGTAGTTAAACATCTCATGCTATTAAAGGGAACCCTGGGTATTAGAAAACCCATGAAAGATTTGTTATTTTAAAAAATTCACATCGTTTTATTCATATTTTGGACTATGGGGTGCCATTATTTCGATGACGGTTGCACTCTGTGAGCTACTGGTGTTACCTGTTGCTATTTTTACCGCAACGCGATGGAATACACTTGGAATACACAACTCGGAAAATAAAATACTGATACGATGCCACATTGTGTGCGGCTTTTGGTTGTAAATTTCAGTCAAAGGGCAACAAGAGAAGTGACGCAAGTCTTCACTGCTTTCCTGGGGATAAAATGAAGTGCATTTCCAAAGAACGAACTGTTTGTGTCCCGTGGTTCTGCCTTCCTCGCCTTGATTTTTCCCAGATGTTTCCTGTATCTTTGTGGGCGAGCTTCCAGTGACTTAAAGGAGAAATAAGAGAGAAATCTTCCTGCCAGGATCTGCGGTGGAATCGTCAGGTTTTGCCGCATGGCTATGAAATGCAATTATGAGAATGTCCCCAGTTTTAGTGGCCTGCATCTGTGACTAAAGTGAGTCTGCGCACTCTTTCAGCGTAAAAGATAACCGTTGACTTATCGATTTCAAGGGGAAATATTAAAGTCAGGGCTCCAAACTGCACTTAAAATGTCCGTTTGTGACCAAAAATATTAATTTGCGAGTGTAACAATGCATTTACCTCAGAATAACCATTCTGCGTCCATAAGCTCATTAGTCAGCTAGAAAAATAACTATAAAGAGGAGCATTTTGCAAAATATATGCGCTATTTTGCATATTCATATTTTTATTTAACCTGTTGTCTACATGATAAGAATGAATGCAAGGAGCTAAAGATATTGGTCCATGATATTGGCACAGATTCTGTGTATTAAACAATTCTTTGTGACTGTATATAGTTCTGAAGTTGGAAAAGATGTTTAGTTCCCACTTTAAGTGAACCTTAGTTCCCAGGAGATCTGCAAGATTAATTAAAATGCTGATGTTGTAACAGGAGGGGAGACATAAATACATGACAGTATGACTGAAATGTTTAAAAAAAGAAATACACGTTTATTCTGTGGCACTTAAAACAATAGTTTGGCGCTTAGTTTTGTTTCTTATAGGAGCCAATGGCTCCTTAAGTGAATTTTTTATTTATTCATTTTTTTGACTGGAGCCCTGATTGAAGTCATATAAAAGCAATGGCAAAGGAAAGATTGCATGAGTTAAAATGTTTTATTTTCAGAGTACTGCCGTTGTCTTATACAGTGTGATCTAAAATGCAGCTCCTTCAGTATGTCACCGTTTTGCTCCCAGTTTATAAAGAAAATCTGATGTAAACACTGTGAGTTTTGATTTGGCCTGAAACATTCTTCATAAATGCTTATCCCTACACAAAATATGTCTGAATTTAATTAATAATGCCACTCGAGCGAGTTTCTTTAAGGAGCGTCATTGGGGTGTTACCATAAACATCTTGCATAGTCAGTTTTCTCTTTCAGGCCAACTACTGTCATGGCAGAGCAATAGTTTAAAGATGGTCTTGGTGATCAGGTTAGTTACTAGATACTAGGAATGGGAAGATTCACAGATTCACACCGGTGCATCGGCATAAAAGTTAACGATGCAATGCATCGATTAAAAAAACTGTGCATCGGCTACAAGTCGGCATTTGTATTGTGATGCATCGTTTCTAACATATTTGCATCTGTAAAAAGCGATTTATTTATATATAATCAGTGGATGCGCTATACTTTTATTATTTAGAAAGTGACCAATATTTTATATGTAGATTGATTTCTCCTTTCTAAACTGTTTCTCAAGCGTGTTCTAGCTCTCATTACGACGGAGACCCGAGGCCTGTTTCATAAAAGATGCTCAGTAAAGCGGGACTAAAGTTCAAAACCTTACTTGAAATAACCTAACAAATCAATCAGGGCTAAAGCGGTTCCATAAACGACTATTTAAGTTCACGCAATCTCACTAATTTGTGTGCGCTTATTCTCAAGCAGCTCTTAATGTCGATCATGGATCAAATCGATCCACCATGGCAAACAGCGAATACATTTGTGCTTAATGCATTTGAGACGTTGTGATTTCCTCAGTGCATAACTGACATGTCACAGGTATATTCTTCATCTGTAAATGTTAGAAAGCATGTTTTATGATAGCAGTAACTGTAAAGGGACTATTGTAATTGGTAAATCAAATAAGCTAGTAGTAGGGCTGGGTTTTGACAAATTTCACGATTCGATTCTCATTCACAAGCTTTCGATTCGATTACCGATTCGATTCAATATTGATTATTTTGGATATATATCAGGTACAGTACATACCAAATTTTCTCAAGGAAAACAAATCTCAACTAATGCTGTAAAATATACATGAGAGTCAGTTGGTACTACATTACTATAATATTGAAGGTTAAAATTGACTTGATTTGTTAAAATTACACCTTAATGAAGTTTTTAAAATAATTAAGTTACAATTACATAACATTTCTACTTCAATTCGTTTTTTTTTTTTATATAAACAATGCAACTTGATGGATTTATTCAAACAAATTAAACATTGAAGAACAGTAAACTGTATAATGAATATGTTATATGGTGCATATATTTAGCAAAATGCCCCTCTAGTTTAATTTTCTAGCTGACTAAATCAGTTCACGTGCGCCTCGCGCTGCTGCGTCTGTTGAACTGAGGCGCTACAGCGATCTGTCACTCCACATTAAACAGCGCCAAAACGGCATTGTTTGAATACTGCAATACAATGGACAGAATTTGAAATCTGAGACTTTGTTTCATATTAAAAGTACCAAAGCACAATGCTTATTGCGATATATTGGATGGGAAGTGCCCTTCAACATTCCGTCTATTAAATGAAAACAGTCTAGAATAATCGATTCTTGGGATTTAAGAATCGATATCATTCCGTAAAAATGAGAATCGATTAATATCGAGATGTCGATATTTTTTACCCAGCCCTAGCTAGTAGTACTAATTACTAAGCTCAAATGAGTTAATGTGTTTCTTATACCAGTTAAAATAGTCATTTTCTTTATTATTTATTTTCATTTTTAATTCAGTGATTTTAACATTTAATTTAGTTATTTTAATTCTTTAAAGAGCGATTTTAGGTTGTATTGTTCTAATGTTCTGCTATCTGTTCTGCTAACTATAAAAGGTACAGCTGTAATAAAACCAGAGAGAAAGGCTGCATGGCTAGAAACTGTATAAACAAAATAAAAATAAAAGTCAAATAATAGGCCTAGATCAAGCTCTGACTCTCTCACATACTATGTTAAATTTGCTTTATGGAACCAAATCATTTGACAATGAATCGTTGAAAATAAGCCTGGCTTATTAACAGGCCTCGAGGCATTAGAAGTGATCATATTTTTTTCCATTGCATTGTATTGCATCAAATCGGATCGTAATAGGGGAGAATCGTATCGCATCGGTAGCTGCTTCATGTGTATCTTTAATGTATCGTATCGTTGGCTATGCATCGAGATGCGTACCGTATCGTCCTCATTATGGAGATGTACATCCCTACTAGATACCTTATTACACATCCTGATTAATGGCACAAATATCGCTCCTTGAATACTAAGACTTGTTGCTCTCACAGAACTACAAGTCAGCACATTTTTACCATTATGTTGAGCCGTGTGTGCTGGTCAAGCATTTCTGGTTTTACGTACTTGTGATTCTGTAGTACGTTTTGACTGTGGTGTGTTCATTTATGTGTGGATTGATGAATTTAGAGTCACGCTATTCAAAATCCCAAGTTTAATAATCCTAAATTGAATGACAAATGCGTTTCTTCCCGGAGCAAGCGTCTTGAAAGCACTGATGGATTATTGCCAGAGTGTTTAGCTCACATCAGAGAGGAATAGCAGGAACCGAAAGATCTCATGAAAGGGCCTCATTGCGGTTTCTTTTCAAAGGATCTTGGTTGAAGAGGCTTTCAGCAGGTTTTTCTGAACGTTATCATGCTCCTCTTAGATCTGACCTTACTGCCAATAATATGATGCCTGAACCACACATAACGTTGTGTCCTTGTACTGTGGCGTAAATGTGCGGTCACAGTAACAACATTTGGGCAAAATTCCACAGGCAAAGCTTGTCTTGTCAATAGTGTAGCAATGTATGAAGTACAGAAGTCATTTCCAAACAAAGTAGCTTTCTGTTTGGTTTACAAGTCAATCTGTGTGTCCAAAATCCTGTGCAAAATCTGCATGGGGAACCATTTAAAGGGAAGTTCCTGATAGTATGGATTCCTATTGAAAAGACTGGATTTTGCAGTGAAAATTCGGTAAATGTGGACACTGTGAAATACATATGTAACAATATATAGTTTGCTGTAAATTGTTGCTCAGCTGTTGTTTTTCTCTCTCATGTAATAACGTGAAGCGGTCCTACTGATTGCCACATACATTAAGAGCAGCATTTCTTTTGTTTGACACATTTCTAACGTCACATGGTGTAACCTTTCAGACCTGCTGTGGTTCTGCCAACATGATATCTCAACTTCTTTAGCCATGTGCACACAGCGTATGTGTTACAGTGAAAGCTGATCACGCTGAGGAGGAAGGGATTGTGAAGGAGTAGTTTGTGACTGTAAGACAGATTTCCCTCTACAGCTTTCAATTAGTTATTGTGAGGACAGTAATTTCCGGTAGACGTAACCGGTTACTTGCAGATGCTTCGCTCGCCAATTGTGTTGCCAAGTAGCAGACGATTTCAAGGATCGCAGCCCACACAACTGAAACTCGACAAAATCTACAGCATTTGTCCTCCCCGAAGGTGAACCGCAGTCACCAAACTGAGGTTACAAAATCTGTTGAAAGCATTTCCTTCGAATACCTGATTCGAGTTTGCCTGGCTCTTCCCGTACTGTTGTTCAGCTCTCTTGTGTGCCTAGTGAAGGGTATTAAGTTCTCTTCCTGTGAAGCACAGATGAAGCCTTTTGAATAGTGCACTTGGCCCCTCGCTGGGCCTCCGCTCTGTTGGCAACAGGAGACCGATCGTTCCGGAAGGGTGGAATAGCGCTTCTGGGCTTTGCATGTGTGCCTATTCTTTTAAAGGGGAAAAGAAAAACAGGAAAGGAGGTCAGTAGTGGGAAAGGGCCTTTTGTAACGAGCGATCAGAGCTAATGCAGAGCTGGAGACGAGCTTTGACAGCCTTGATGAAGTAGAACAAAGCTTGCTTTAAAACAACAGAGATTACAGAACCGCCATAGCTATGTTTGTTGAGCACACTATACGAACGCTTGAATGCAAGCGACGTCGACTCATACAATCCCTTCTTATCAAGTCATCGCGGTTACTCGTGGGAGGTGTGCGCTCTTGCCAGGCCCGCTGAATGCGGCATTAATAGCTCTGCTTGTTTGTGCCGTTGGACTTGGGCCTCAGTACAATCCCTCCTTTGTTTGTCTTGCAGAGGCAAGCCTGCCAATGGGGACTACCGCAAGGACCCCCGGGATCGCAGCCGCAGTCCCATAGAGCGCATCGGCGCCTCCCCAATGAGTCTCGTTGGTGGTCACCTGTATGCCCACATGCCCATCCTGGCCATGGACCAGCCTCTCGCACTGACCAAAAACATGGACACCACCCGCACTGTCGCCATCTCGCCTACTGTCAGCCCCATTGAGCGCCAGCAGGTAACTTCAGCAGCGCCATATTCCCCCCAAAATGAAAACTGCCATCATGTACTCACCCTCATGTCATTTTAAACCTGTGACTGACTGACTTCTACAGAACACACACACACAAT